GGGTCTCCATCGTCGAATCCTTCGTCAAAATCTTGTGAAGCTCCATCATCCGAATTGCTCGCATAAGTGCCTTCTTCCTCCGAATAAGAGTTTTCTGTTCCCCCTTCGCTTTCCTCGTCATCATCGTGATGTCCGGCTCCTGCCATCATTTCTTCGTCACGATCGGAAAAATTCTCGTTAGAAGGAGAACGCGCTCTACGATCGCCTTGGTCTTCCTCAGAGTCAGAAAGTGCGATCACAGTTGCGGCTTTCGGGGTACGCGTTATGCAGGGCGTTAAGCTTTAATATTGTCTAAAAATTTTGTGAGAAGCTTTTTTTCTTGTGATGACCATTGCTTGATCTTGAACATCATCAAGACAGGCTTTGCCAAAGATGCGTTTAGATGCGACAGATTTACGTTATTTAAGTAGTGAAGAATTCAAGGTTCTCAAAGCTACGGAAACGGGATCTTTATCGCATGAAGTCGTTCCTTCGACTTTGATCGCATCCACAAGTGGATTGCATCATGCAGGTCTGAACAAGATCATGTCTGAACTGTCAAGAAGAGGGTTGATCGCACGTGAACGGAATATCAAATATGATGGTTGGAGGCTGACATACGGAGGGTATGACTGGCTTGCGATTCGAGCAATGCGAGAAAAGGATGCTTTGTTGGGCGTTGGTACTCGAGTGGGAGTAGGAAAAGAAAGTGATGTTTATATGGCCCATAGACCTGGAGCAACAGCAGAAGATGTTCCTATACCAGCAGTTTTGAAAGTACATCGACTAGGACGGATATCATTCAGAAAAATCAAAGAAAAACGTGATTATTTGGGAAATCGTAAATCGGCACCGAATTGGATGTATTTAAGTCGATTGGCAGCCAAGAAAGAATGGCAATTTATGCAAATCCTTCATAAGAACGGGTTTCCGGTTCCTGAACCGATTTATCAATCAAGACATTCGATTTTGATGTCACGTATTAATGGATACCCTTTACGACAAATCGTTGAACTTCCAATCGAACAAGTTGAATCACTCTTTGCAAGTTTGATCGCTATCATCGTTCGTTTAGCACGGGCTGGTTTGATTCATTGTGATTTTAATGAGTTCAATATTATGGTACGCGAAGCAAAACAAGAAGGAGATGAAGAGGAGGAATTGGAAGAGGATGAGAACAGCATTTGGTCAAGAGCAAAAGCCTCACTAGCGGAATCGCCAGAGGATGATGGGGAATACAAACTCAAGCCTGGAGAGCGAATCGAGAAATGCAATGGTTTCGATCGGATATACTTCGACCCTAATCTTGTGGAGCAGGATAAGAGAGAGCAAGCCAGCGAAGAGGAGGAAGAGAGCGAGTCGGATGGCAGCTCTGAAGGCGAAGAAGAAGAAGAAGAAGCCGAAGAATTTGATCAAGAAGGCACGAATGAAGCACTACGAGTGACACTAAAAGATGGATCATCAATCGAACCAATCCTGATTGATTTCCCACAAATGATCAGTGTCGAACATGCAAATGCAGAGTATTACTTTGACAGAGACGTGGAAGGAGTGAAACAATTCTTCAGAAAGCGATTTAGATTTCAAAGTGATCGAGTACCAAAGTTCAGGGATATCGTTCCTGAAGATCGACAGAAACAACGTGAGATTCGTGCCCGTCGTCGTGCCAGAAGGGCAGAGCAGGTTACGGGATTGAGTGCCGATGAATTGCCGGAAGATGAGAAACCTTTGGGCTTAGAGCTTGATGTACAGGCACAAGCAAGTGGACTCGGCAGTTTAGAAAAGGAAGAAACTCCACTTGATCAATACATGACAGCCCTTCGCCTACGAGATGAAACAGAGGAGGACGAAGATGAAGAGGAAGGGTCAGAAGAAGAAGGCGAGGAGGAAGATGAGCAAGAAGAAGAGAAAGAAGCAGAAGTATCCGATGAGGACATCAACTCTCGCCTACAAGGTGGAACACTATTACCGCCTTCGATGGTTGAGCCTACCGGACGAGGATTAGCCCGACAATCACGCCGAAGAAGAGGTGGAGGAATGCCTGTTGTTGCAAGAAAATTAAAAGGAGAAGATGAAGAAGATCAAAGAGATCCAATGGAAATTCGAATTGCAGCCGAAAAGCAAAGGCGAGCACGACAAGATGCAAAACATCATGGCAAAAAAGCCGCTTCCGGAAAAGCAGGAAGAGCATGGGCAGCCGGAGCGGGAAGTAAAGCTAAAACGAGCGATAAAGCACTTTTGGATAATTCTATGCAATTTTAATGATTTTGTATGTATACTGTATATACCTTTAGCAATATATTCATCATATACAAGCATACAAGCCGGTATGAAGTGGATTGAAAAGCCGATTGCCTTGAAGCCCCTGAGTGAGTGAGTGTGCTTCAATAAGATGGAGACCGAGAACTCTTCTTTCTGTGCGCTAAAGTGAATGAAGGTTTGCATGACAGCGCTTTAGCAGTCATCACTAAAAAGTCGCGGGGTATAATATATTATTTCACTCAGGGGTATTTTTATTCTAAAAGTGAGAGCGAATATGCATCAAACGTGCGTATTTTCACTAAGAAAGTTTAAAAAGCAAAAAGTAACACTTTTCTTAAAACAATTTTAAAATGGTATGGGATCGTGCTCTTCTCAAGACTGGGCCTGATCATGGTCTGAACCCAACAAACATGCTATACATACATAAACAAGAGCTGGATGTACAGCTGCTGTATCAGCCGATGCGAGTATAGCGGATATTCCACCATGCACGAGCATAAAAGACTCCTATGTATATACAAGCAAAAGCTCTTGATGTAGTGTGAATGTATACCTTTATTATGATGTAATAACAATCAGGTCAGTCTCTTGTTTTCTTATCATCCTTCCATCATAAAGGTGATCATCAAAGTATAATTAAGTCTCTAAATCCCCTTGAAGGCCATAATGACAACGATGGCCATGCCAAGATCCAGTGGAAGACCTCTTCCTCAGCCACCTGGAATGACGAGCTCATATGCTGAACGTGAAGCAGCATGGTATGAGCATGAAGAACGTATGCGTCCATCCTATATAATGAGACCATCTTATGGTAGCCCAAATGGCGTACAACCTCAACCTCCTTTGAGTCCTTCTTCACGTTGGACAGCATCCACTTCTGTAGCTCAACATCAACAAGGAGGAGCACAATATCCTTTTCCCGGTACCGCAATTGATTATCCTGCTTCTCCGCAAAAGCAATTAACGCAATCACAACAGCCGCCACCACCAAGACGATTTGCTCATTCGGTTGGACAAAGTGGAATGAGACCTTTGAATGATTCTTCTTCCACCACAAGACCAATTTCTCCTACAACGCTGCATTCTATGGCTGAAACGGGCAGAACGACTCCAATGTCGTCTAATGGCGAAGGTGGATTCAAAGGACGTCCTTATCATCTTAATTCTTCGCCCAGTAGACTTCATAGTCCAGCTAATGGATATCAACCATTCGCGTTGGATGATGAAGAAGCACGCAGGACGGGAGCAGTTGGTAAAGGAAGCGCATTTATGCATAAAGGATTCTTTGATATCCTTTCACTCGTCAATAATCCTGCCAGTAGACCTGCAGGTCAAAATGGATTCAAAGCTACATTTAGCAAAGCAACTGGTCGATTCCGTAGAGATTCCAATCCAAACGGTCCTCGTATCGGCTTGAACAGTGGAGGTAAAGAAGATCCTTTCTTTAGCTCTCCTGCTCCTCCTCTTCAAAATATCACTTCGAGAAATTCGATGCAAATGCCTCCTTTGATGCCAACTACACGAACGAACAGGATGTCTGTTCCAGTAAATGCCACATACAATCCAATGCCTAGTCCTTTCCCCAATGCTGGTGCTGCTGCTCTAGGTCCAAAAGCAGCAAAGAAGCGAATCAGTATAGATATGGTTGGAGCACCACGAATTGACAGTTTCGTTCATGCAGCCCATGCTAGTGATGCAGAACAAGCAGAAGAAATCCTACGTAGATGGGGAAGGGATAATGTTGGCAAGATTGCCGATCCAGCATGGATTGAACGTTGTAAAGAAGCAATGCGCGTTCAAGCAGCAAGAAATCAAGCAGAAGCAATCGCACAAATTCAAGCTGCTCTTCATCAAGAAAGTGCGTTTAGAGATAATCCAAAACAACTTCATATCGTTAATGGTACTCCAAGTGCCTTGACTTTTGCTACCGCAACTACGGCTACTGTTGGTCATAGTACGCTTTCTGGTAATTCTACACAAACTCAAAGACCTTCACCTGGTGTGGGCGGCGCTGGTGCTGCTTTTGAACAGATTGAGGAGGAAGTCCAACACAATGGCCAGCCTGTTGCTCCAATGACACCTCCTCACAAATCTCCTTCCCCACCTCATATGGCACAATCGCCTATCGCAAGACCTGGAATGATGCCAAGAACAAACACGCAAGGAACGATGCTTGTAAGTTCACCTGTAAATCTTGCAAAAACACAAGATGTTCCGGATTATTTGCATTTCCAACCACAGCCTGTTGCAGTGAACAATGCGATTGTCGAACATCCACGTACCGTTCAACCGATCGATGAAAGAAGGTCAAGTAAGGCAATCGATGGATTACCGGGCGGCGGAGGTGCGATTGATGCTTTGTTCGATAGACCTGTTTCGATGGTCGTTCGTGATAGTTTAGCGATGACAAACAACAACAACCACAACGCATCCACGCGAAATTTAGCAGGAGAAGCAATGTCTGATGTTTTGGTTAATCATGCAGGAGCGGCTATGAGACCAAGTTTGACGACAGTTGAAAAATCCGTTGCAGCAAAGATTTATTTTGAAAATTTGTATTATGGTATTTTGAAAAAGCCACAAGCTCGAGAAACACGCAAAGCAGGATTAGAAGCTGAATTGGCATTGCTGCGTATTCCTGATTCTTCCAAGGAAGCGATCAGGAACGCTTGGGCTGCTAATGAAACGGAGTATCTTCGTGATATTCGTGCTCGTGTGAACGTGAACAGTTTCTCACGTTTAAAGACTATTGGTCATGGTGCTTTCGGTGTGGTGGCATTGGTGCAAGAACGTCAGACGGGTGGACTGTATGCAATGAAACAATTACGCAAGGCAGACATGCTGCGAAAAGGACAAGAAGGACATGTACGTGCAGAACGTGATCTGATGACGAGTGCAAGTGCAAGTCAAAATGCAAAATGGATCGTCAAGTTGGTGTATAGCTTCCAAGATGTGGATCATTTGTACTTGATAATGGAGTTTATGGGTGGTGGAGATCTGTTGAATCTTCTGATCGAGAAGGACATCTTTGCCGAAGATTTTGCCCGTTTCTACGTGGCAGAAATGATCTTGGCCGTTCATGAAGCACATCGATTGGGATATATCCATCGCGATATCAAACCCGATAACTTCCTCTTTACTTCTCAAGGTCATGTCAAATTGGCCGATTTCGGACTTTGTCAAAGTTTCCATTGGGCACACGATGGTGCATATTATGATCAACAACGCAAGAATATGCTCAAGAAACATGGAATCGATTTGGAAGATTCGGGTACGGCTCGCGCAGGAATGAATCCAGGAAGAGGAGGAGCAGGAACGCGAGGAAAGGCGGATGGCACATTGACGGATAAAGAATTGAAAGATGTGATGAGCGATCGACATGATGATGGAACACCTTTGACGCATGTTTTAACATGGCGAGAGAAGAACAGGAAAAAGATCGCTTATTCTGTCGTTGGAACGAATAATTATATGGCTCCGGAAGTGTTGCGTGGATTGGGATATGATCAATCCTGCGATTGGTGGTCTTTGGGAGTGATTGTGTTTGAGATGTTGTACGGATACCCTCCATTTGTGAGTAAATCTCGACATCTAACACGACAAAAGATTCTCAATTGGCGACAAACGCTACGATTCCCACCAAAGCCAAAAGTTTCAAGGGATGCACAAGACTTTATCTCCAAGTTGATCTGTGAACGTGATGATCGATTAGGAAGTCAAGCGACGGCAAGTGTGAGCAGACCAAATTCACTTTTACAAGGTAGCAGACAACAAAGAAGTGGATTTGCAGCGGGTGGCAATCCGGAAAAGGCAGGATTGGTTGATGGAGTGGAAGAATTGATGGCACATCCATGGTTCCGTGGAATTGATTGGGCAAATTTACATCAATCAAAAGCGCCTTTTGTGCCTGCTTTAAGTCATCCTGCCGATACGAAACACTTTGAAGATGATATAGATGATGAACCTTTGCCTGCACCGGGAGCAGCGGAAGCGGCAAAGAATGGACAGCCTGCGCCGGTTGAACAAGCTCGGGATCCGATGTTGCGCGATAAGGCACACGGGCAACATCTTTTGGAGATGCGTAAACAGTTGGCCTTTGTTGGATATACGTTCAAATCACCCAAATCATTCGATCCAAAAGCACAATTAACAGAATCAAAGATTGTTGCTGCAGAGAGAGGTCAAGCGCAGGCAAACAATGGAGGAACACCCTCACAATTATCAAGTGGAAGTAGACTACGGTCGATGTCCATGTAAACCCAAATACCCTTTTAGCATAATTTTCTCTTCTTTTCTTCTTTGCTTTATTATGTTTATGACTCTGCTTCTCTCTTGAATGATATGATGTGTAAATCATTTTTGCAAAAAACATAATTTGTGACCGTAGTCACAACCTTTTCGATCAAAATTGTCATCCTTATGCAGGGGCAATGCTAATCTTCTCTGTATCGTTTCAAGTTTAATATATGCCCACGAGGGGCAATAAAGCAAAACGAGTGATGAGTGGTATACAACATAGATTTATCTAAAATGCTTCAAAGACAAAAATGCAATTCGATTTAATTTGTTGGCGTAGGCTGTGCTGTTAGTACGCGACTTCGCAATTCCGTGGCATGACTATATAATGTATTTTTAGCTGGACACCGGCCTTACGCCGAGCTCAAGAAAGCGGGAAACAGAAGAGAGGGCGGGAAACAAACGAAATAGGGTTCACCTGTGAATATACTTCTCACATGCCAAGAAGGCAAAAGGTACACAATGAGCAAGAGAGTTGCTAAATTTGAATTTGATTAGCGTCAAGTAGGAAATACAAAATTGAAATTTTACAATTGTCTTTTCATTGTATTAATCGTATGCATGATTGGGATACAAGAGTACATCATATTGCATCGTTGTATGTGTGTGTGCAGAAGTCGGATGCGCTGTTTGAAATTGAAAGTAAATTGATTCGTTCTTTGTCACAATTGTCCCTCTCCACCATCTCTCGGGTTACCTATTCTCATACAATTCATCAAAAAAAATGCCATTGGCTCAACCAACTCCAAGGCCAATCGTGCCAAGGGAAATCATAGAAGCCGTTGCTGAAAGAAGACAACTTTTAGATTCTATATTCGGAGGAGATTCGACTACAGCAAACAGTGGAGGAAGTGGAAGTGGTGGTAGTAGTGGCGGTGGATCGAGCGGTGGATCGAGCGGTGGTGGCAGTACAGGAGGAGGTTCATCGGATAATGGCAGTGGAAGCAGTAATGGTGGCAGCAGTAGCAATGGCGGTGGTTCAACGGCTAACGGTGGTGGTGGTTCTACCAGTAATGGACAATCAAGTTCAACAACAAGTCAACAAAGTTCAACATCCTCCCCTTCTTCTACGAGAGAACAAGTGACAAGCTTTACATCTTCACGTTCGTCAACTGTTGTACAACAAACTACAAGTAATGGAGTTGTGACTTCTGTTACAGTTGTAACCAATGCGCCCGATGTGGTCTATTCAACTGCTTCTGTTGGTGCAGAAACCTCGAGACCAACAAGCAGTGGAAGTTCTACTAATGGTGGCTTGATCGGAGGCGTTGTTGGAGGTGTTGTTGGTGGTTTAGCATTATTGACTTTATTGGTTTTAGGAATCATTGTTTGGCGCAGAAGAAGATCACGTACAGGTCACGGATGGTTGTTGTGCTTCGGTCGTCGTCCTGATACGAAGAATGACTTGGATGTCGATTGGCCAACGTTCGATCCCACAGCCGGAGCAGCAGGTGTTGGTGGAACGATGGGAACTAATGGCCGAAGAAAAGGTCAAGGTTATAACGGTGGCACATTACCAAACGTTGACGACGAAGGTAGTTATCATCAAGGCTATAACGGTGATTATGGGTCTTATAATCATGGAGAAGATGAAATGCGGGATATGGGTAATGCTTATCCTAATTCTGCACCTTCTTTTGGATCACCAACATCGGATAATCAACATTACGCACAACAATCACAACAATGGCACATGGGACCAATGACTTCGTTTTCAAACGGTGCTCATTCTTCTGCTCCCGATTATAGTCATTTAGACGCACCTGAAGTACGTGAAGAACGTGCAAGACAACAAGCTCAAGAACAAGCAATGGCAGCAGCCGCCGCCGCTGCTGCTTCTCATCATTCTGGTGGTTCACCTCCACCAACAGGACATGGGTTATCACGTTATGGTAGCCCAGTTGGAAGTGCCTCTCCTCCTCCAAACGAGGGTCGTCCATTATCAGGCGCGATGAACGAACATAGATTTTCGCAAGGAACAGCACAAATGTTATCCGATAATAACTTCTTCCTTTCTTCGCCTCAATTTGAAGATGATAATGGAACTGTTTTGAACGAGAATCAACGTCATGGTTTGCATTTGCATAATCCTGATGCATGATTTGTGCACATTTTTTTTTTGCTTTGCTCTGCTTTTCTTTTCTATCATCATTCAGCACAACAATCATTGTATTTCCCACTTTCAAGTAATTACTTCTTTTTCTCTTGCTTCCCCCAAAACATATTGCATTGTCCTTGCTAGGATCTTCAATTTATATTATTGCTTCATCTTCTTGAGTTGTGTTGTGTGATCCGGATCCGGTTCCGAAGTTTAGGCACGGGTTTATTATCTTAAGCGCGTCATAACCAACACTTTCTTCTTCTTCATCTCCTCGGCAAGATAGGAAAAAGGCAAATCGTATGTTACATTTAAGAACGCAGCCAAAGCTTCTCTTTTCGTCTGTCAGGCAATCTATAAAGTGTTCAAATATACCCTATCGCACTTTCACATCAACAACGATGTCTACACAACAAGCAGCAGAAACTCCAACCCAGTCTCAGGCCGCCACGCCTTTGATTATGCAATTAATCGTCGATGCAACACTGTTCGAGAAGCAACCAGGTTGGTCAATGGGACCAATGATGGCACAAGCAGGACATGCAACAAGTGCGATTATAGCCAAAACATACGCACATCCAAACACACAAGCATATCTGTCAGAAGAAAATTTACCAAATATGCGTAAAGTAGTTTTAAAAACGGGCAAAGGGATGACTTTGGAAGAATTAAGTCAAAAGCTTACAAATGCGAAACAGAATGCAGATCAATCGCAGGGATTCCCGGAACACCATCTTTGGATCGAACAGCCAGAGAATATACCGACTGTCTTGGCCATCGCACCGAATACTCGTCCATCGGTAAGTGGAGGAGATGCTAATGAACACACACACATTCTTGAAATACTGATATATTCTATTGCTACTCTATAATACAGGCATTAAAGAAAGTTCTCAATAGCTGTTCACTTTTACGTGATTGATCTAAGCAGAATCTTCCCGGCCAATGCCATGACCATGATGAACTGTCAATCTACAATCTTCTCCTCCAGCAACAACTGTTTGACCGGTTGGATCCCAATCTAAAGCCAAAATCTTCTTCTTTTGTTCGGCATCCTGCATATCGCCACTAGGTCTCACAAGAGAAAATAGAGGAGCCCTAGGAGAACGTGTGTCCCACAATCGTACCAAACCATCATACGATCCAGAAACAAACAGCAAGGAGGACGTAGGATGAGCACGAACGGATCCAACAGGTGCAGAATGAGCAAAAGATAAGGAAATATTTGTCGTTTGTGATCGTAAATCCCACAAAGCGGCCGTACGATCCATTTGTCCTGTAACGGCAAGATCTTGTCCTGACATTGCATCAAGTGCAAGGATTACTTTATCCGATGTTTTAGTGGACGTGCAACTTGCTGTACTTATATCCCATCCTCTAACTGCACCATCCCAACCAGCAGAAATTACAGATCGCTTTTCGTTCCAAACCGCATTTGCCAATCTTGCATTTGTGTTTGGCATCCTTTCTAATCCGGAAACTGGTGTTGAATGCCACAGCAGCGAAAGTGGCTTCTTTGATGGTACCTTGCCCGCAACAGAGCTACCCTTTACGCCTTTTCTGCGCTTTGATGTCCGGTCATCGTCCCCGTCAACATCACCCGATTGTGCTGCGTCCCAAATTGCTACACATCCATCCCAACCAGCTGTTGCCAAAGTATCGCCGATGCTATTGACTGAAACGGAAGATAAAGGCATGGTCGTATCGAATGCATTTGTATACGAGAGTGATTCAAGAGAAGCAGGTAAAACCTCCTCTCCAGCTTCTGCAGTGGGTAGATTGCAAATGCGTAAAGCTCCATCCATACCTGCAACAGCCAATCGAGAAGAAGAAGGCGAATCGTTTAGCCAACATACGTTTGTTAAAGAAGCAGTTTCCGTTGGTCTGAATGTATTGATTGGTTTTTCTGTAGCCGAAGATCCATAAACACGTAATGTTCCATCGTATGAAGAAGTTAAGAAGTATCCTTTTCTTGATGCATCAATGCCACCGATCCAATCATCATGTTCGAAAGCGGCTGTGAAAGTGGGCGGTAGAGTACTTCGAACATATTCGATTTCCAATGTACTTTCTTCCGTTAATTCTTTACTTTGTAGGTATTGATCTAAAGATACTCTTAATAATTGACCATCAATAATGAAATCGAATGGGATACTCTTTGTTGCTGCTGCAGTGTCTTCATCATTGACACCCTGTTGTAACAGCCTGTTGACCAATGTTGAAAGTTGTGTTCTACGCCATGTTGTAGGCACTAAGTATGGCACATCAGGAATGCTTAACGTACTTTGAGACGTACGCAATTTGATCGGTACTTGACGTATAGGTGTACTTTCCACCATTGTACCTGATGGTCCTGTCGATGAGGATGCCATTTTGATGATGTTAAGAGGATCACCAAGAAGAATGTTTAAACAAATTAAGAAGTTTCACTAAAATGCAAATTAAATCCAAAATTATCCAAAAAATCTCTCTAAGTCAAAAGCACGTGTAAAAAGTCATTAATCAAATGCACGCACCCCTCTCACCGAATCCCGCATTGAGCATAAAAGTATCGTAATCATCATACAAGGCTTGATCTCCACTATACTAACAATAGCAACGAGATGATGTCTAATCGCAGCTTAACAGTACTTCGTGTAGGTGGACAAACAGCAAAATGTTCAAGCACGAATCTGTTCTTGCAATCAAGAAATCTACATGCAACACGAATCTTGAAAGAATCCGAAGATGATTTAATGAAACGAATCAAAGATGATTTAAAGAATGCTATGAGATCAAAAGATAGTTTCGCATCAACCGTATTTAGATCGCTTTTATCAGAACAACAATATGCACAAAAATCACAACAAACAAATGGCGGAAAGATTGCATCAAGCATGATTTCAATCATTCAAAAAGCATTAGCAAAAAGACAAGAATCGGCAAAACAATTTCGTGCTGCTAATCCGTCAAGAGAAGATTTAGCCGAGAAAGAAGATAAAGAAGCTGATCTTATAAGAAAATTTTTACCTGAACAAATTTCAAAAGAAGAATTGGAAAATGTTGTCAAAAGTGCAATCGAAGAAGCTAAAAAAGCAGGAATTGATGGAAAAAAATTGATGGGAGAAGTGATGAAACGTGTTGGCGGTCAAGTTGATAAAGCTCGTGCACCCGGTGGTTTGATTAGTGAAGCTGTAAAGAAATTTTTGCAATGATTGAATTGGGATAATGTTGATGTACAAGTAGAAGAAGAAAAAATACAAAACAAAATGTTTATACTATTCCAATCTCTTTTACGCCAGATCAGGTTCTTCTTGCATTCCTTTGCGAACGTTGCGTAAAAGACTTGCTTGCCATCCCACGATTCGCTTCGTTCGATCAAAATTGGCTACCAATTCATCAAAGCCAGGGACATCACCTGCTTCGCATGCTTGTAGGATGTTGTGTAAGAATTGACCTTCCATAGTGGTAGGAAAAGATGCATCTTGTTGTGCATAAAAACCCATAGCATTTCCACAAGCAACATAATCAGGTAGAGCAAGATAACACAATCCTGCGTTTAAATAGTAATCCTTTACGCTATACCTTGTCAAATTACTCTCTAAGCTCATTTGAGCCACTTGTTCCCACTTCTCCAATGCACGTTTATAATCGCTAATTTCTGTTGCAATCGTTGCTGCTTCTCTGAAACAGCCTGAAGCTGTTGCGTTTGCATTTTCTTGAATGTACCATTGACCTGCTTGTTCGTATGACTCCAAAGCTTTTGATGGATCGTTGGCCTCGTTTCGGTATAATTCAGCAATGTTCTTTTGACGATCTGCTGCCTGTCTAAACCTTCCCTTTTCTACCAGTATATCCTTACAGCGTGTCAATGCCACGACGGCCACTACGTCAAAAGGAGGATAGAAGGGTCGGAGTGTGAATATCTGGTACAAGATCTCATCAATTCAGCACATTCAATACTCACGTTCAGGTCTGGCCATCTTGAAGCTCTTATAAGCTTCAAAGTATGTATTTGCAGCATAGTCCGTTTCACCTGCTTTGATTTCAGTTTCGGCTGCACGCATGAATGCTTGACCAGCTTCATCAAATCTTGATGCTAATCTGAATTTATTCCCTGCCGCTTTGAACAATTCAGCTGCTTCTTCTAATTTTGCCGAACCGGAGGAAAACCATCCTCCCGAAGAGGCTGCTCTCTTTTCGGCAGATTTTAGTAAATCTTCAGGTGATGATGAAGACATCTTCTTTTATGGGATTTGATGTGATGGCGCAGTATCTAGTTGGATGATGAGGAGCATTCATTCCTTTCAAACTTCATTTCATCCACGGCTGTGTATCTCCACGTTGCGGGCGCAAGAGCAACAGACGCCAACTTTAGTGTGTGTGGATAACTCCTAGGATTATATAATCAGGAGATCAACAACTCTTCAGCTTAGAGGACGCGAATCCTTACGTTGCATTGCTTGAGAAAACGCGCTCTCAGGCTCTACAACCCAAAAGTGGACCGAGCGTTTCGAGAAGGACTCGTCAGCGAAGATGAAATGATTGCAATTTAACACCATCATTGTGACTTTCATCAACGAGTGAATTGACAAGATGGCATCGCAAGGTACAGGTTACGATCTTTCAGCTTCGACTTATTCTCCTGACGGAAGAATCTTCCAGGTATGTAGACGAATGCGATGTTGCAAAAAGTACACTTACTGAACAGTCTCCCCTCCTTCAGATTGAATACGCACAAAAGGCAACAGAGAATGCTGGAACAGTTATTGGACTGAAATGCAAAGATGGAATCTTGTTGGCCGTTGAGAAACTAGTGCAGACGAAGCTATTGGTTCCCGGATCGAATAAGAGAATCTTTACAGTAGATTATCATGCTGGTATCGCAAGTGCAGGATTAATTGCAGACGGCAAACATTTGGCTGGTAGAGCAAGAGATGAAGCTATTAACTTCCGCGATACATACAGATACCCTTCTCCCATCAAAGCACTCACCGAACGCTTGGCTCTATACGTACAAGCCTACACTCTATATTCTTCCGTTCGACCATTCGGTATCAGCAGCGTTTTGGGCGGTGTAGATGAAGATGGACCACAATTGTATATGATCGAGCCAAGTGGTGTATACTGGGGATACAATGGCTGTGCGATCGGAAAAGGACGTCAACTTGCCAAGACTGAGATTGAAAAGTTGGATTTAGGAAAAGATGGTTTGACGGTAAAAGAAGCAGTTCAACATGCTGCAAATATTATTTATAAATGTCACGATGATGCAAAAGATAAAGACTTCGAGCTGGAACTTTCATGGATTTGTCCTGAATCAAAAAATAGACATCAATACGTTCCAGCAGACATTGTTGCCGAAGCAGGAAGGAAAGCGAAAGAAGCTTTGGACGATGAGATGGAAGATTGATTTGTTGTAAAAAGCAAAATTATAGCATTATGTACATTCTTGATATTCAATCCATTTTGACAGATAACAATCTTGTGTGTGTGTATGTGTGTATGCGCTGCATGAGGAAAGGCGGGCCAGACGTAATTCACATCCTCGAGTGAATGCATGAATCCTTGCTCTTAACCTCCTGGTCAGCATCGAATTAACAATGATGACTACTTCAATCGAACCTCTGGACGAACGAACGAGCAACACGCTCACCGCCAGTGTTCTGTATCCAGATTTGGCATCAATCGCACAAGCATTCGTGCAAAATGCGATCAAGAATTCACCTAAATCATACATCGAACTTCGAATCAGCTTTGCTCCTATTTGGCAGATTGAATGCCGCGAAGATGGAAAGAGTGATCGATCCGCTGATGACGATTCAATTCAGAATTTGTCGTTTTTGGGCACTCTTTGCACGGATACATGCGGGAAGAGAAGAGTACGAAAGGTATGTAGCGTCCGCTTGTTTCGCAGAATGATGGTTCTGACACTTTTGTCAACAGGGAACCAGTGTTGATCGGCAAAAATCAAAGGAAGGAAACAATTCCATTTGTCTTCGATGCTTCTTCGAAAATGTGAGTATAGAGAGTAGAATCGGATATCCTTTATTACTGAAACACGATCAGATCCCTGTGAGACGCACATCATTGCACAACAGAGCAAATTGTATGGCAGAGGTAAGAAAGGTCAAGAATACAGTCAAAGCACTGTCTTTGTTGTGTCCTCATATTCGGATCGCATGCTACATCCAAGAAAATTTCTCCGATCAGGTAATGAGAGTATTTAATTTCGAAGCAGTAAGTCACATGAGATAAAGAGCAGAGTTCTATTGCTAGGTTTCCTGACATAGCACTTTCACAGAATCAAGATTTCAACGACAGATTCGAAACACTCTATTGCACACCGGAAAAGGATGCCAATCTGACACAAATTAATGTAAAGACTGGGAAATACAGCATTTCTGGCTATGTCGACCTTTTGGGGACATCTAACATCACCGAACAGATCGTGCTCATCAATGGAGCTTTGGTTCGAGATCACAATCGTATTGATAGCGGTGATAGCATGATCAGCGGAAGACTACACGAAACACTGAAAAAGCAAATGTCCGACAAGTCATTGGAGCCTGTTTATGTTGTCGTTGTCAGATTCGAGAATATGCAGTCAGACACGAAGATGTTTGAGCATATGGCCAAGAGTATCCAAAAAAGTTTGACAGAATCAAAGTATACACAAAAGAATGGAATCAACTCGACGGCAACGTCGATCGATGAATTCCAGAAGCCTGGTTCACATGCTCTCAGCACGAGAATGGACTACAACCAGACTGGCCGCATCCAGGGTGAAATAGACCGAAAACATCTTGTCCGAAGTGCTCCGACCGGTAAGAGAAATGCGATCGCAACTCTGGGAATGCGGAAAAGACAAGCATTGATTGACGAATCAGCCGTTTCTGGCTTCGACGTTCTTCATGCCTCATCAGGCCTAAGCCTTTCCGATTTGGAACTGATTGGTCAGGTAGATGACAAATTTGTAGCGTGTATCAATCTGCAAACAAGTCGAATTGTCCTGATCGACCAGCATGCTGCTCATGAACGGATCCGGTATGAGAAAAAGCTAGGTGAATATATTTCACAGCGTTTGACCAAGTCTTCAGGTGACATTTCGACGATCGACAAGAAAGTTGAACATCGACTAATGACAGAAGTCTTGTATGAGGATTTCAAAAGCGCCAAAGAGCTGCTCCAATTCTGGGGAATCGGGATGGAAGAAACGGACGACGCTCGGACGGTAAAGCTTATTTCCCTGCCATCACTATGCTCTGTTGAGAAGAAGGATGAGATACGACATTTGTTGGATACTCTAGCGGACTGGCTTCGAGCGGTTCCAGCTCGAAGAAGACTTGATGATTTAAAGGTTGCATTGTCAGCACAAACCAATCCTGCTGCACGATTGATGATCTCGCTACGACATGCGCCACCTATGATCATAGACAAGGTGACAACATGGTCATGCAGAGGAGCGATCAGTGAGTGTACAAGGTCTACGATAGCAACACAAAAGCAATGCTAACCAAGACGAGTAGTGTTCAACGATCCCCTCACAAGTTCTCAATGTCAAAGACTTCTTGCAGAATTGGGTCAATGCATATTTCCTTGGCAATGCGCTCATGGCAGGTGAGCTAATAAGCGCATTTTGCATGTCCGACACTTGCTAATCTCATCATCACTCTTCGGCAGGCCCACTTCTCTAATTGTTTCGCAACTTGATCGAGTGCAGATCCACATACTGAACAAGTCACCGATCGATTGGTTAAGCATTAACACCAAGTCTGCCGCATGAGTCATCCCTTCCATCATCTTCTTCCCTTCCTCCTTCCCTTCCACCACCTTCTTCCCTTCCACCACCTTCTTCCCTTCCACC